TGCAGTGAACTGCCTCTAGAGTTATGTGTTCTGTTTTTCTGACACTGTTGTGTTCCATGTTTCAAAGTTCTGCAATATCACGTGTAAAATATTGACATTTGAGAAATATTATTTCTTATTTTTTTATACATGTTCAACTTTTTGTGACCCCATTTTGGGTTTTCTTGCAAAGATGCTGGAGTAGTTCGTCATTTTCTTCTCCAGCTCTTATAAAGATGAGGAAGCTGAGGTAACCAAAGTTAAACCATTTCTGAAGTGTCTCACAGCTAGTATCTGAGGCCAGATTTGAACTCCAGGCTCCACCTTCTATCTACTTCACCACCTAGCTACCCAAAAAATGCCATTTTCTCAGAAATACAGATTTGATCAATTGTAGAAATGTGAATAGCTTAAGTGTAGGTTGTGCCAATATAATAAAATTCATAATTATATCTAAAACTATTTATAAATTCAGTTCTATACCAGTCAAACTACCAAATAAGTGTTTTATACAGTAAGGAAAATAGTAATAAAATTCTTCTAGAAGGACAAATAGTCAAGAATATCAAAGAGATCTATAAAAAAGTAAAACAAAATGGTAGCCTAAAGTATAAAATTTCAAACAATTTTACAAAGCAGTAATCATTGAAACAATCTGGTACATGCTAGGAAATAAAGTGGTGGATCACTGGGATAGATTAGGTACACAATACACATTACTCAGTGAACATAGTAATGTAGTGTTTAATAAAACAAACTTGTAAGTTTTGAGGTCAATAATTCAGCATTTACAAAAATTGCTAAGAAAACTGGAAAGTGGTTTGGCAGAAAGTAGGAACAGACCAATAACTCATGCCACATAACAATGCAAAGTTAAAGTGGTTTATGTTGTAGACATAAAGGATAATTTTATGAGCAAATTAAGCAAGAATGAAAAAAAAAACATTAGTTTTAAGGATAAGGGAAGATTGTTTTTAACCAAATAGGAGAGTATCAGGGGAGGTCAAATATGTAATTTTGATTACATTAAGTTTTTTTAAAAAGTTTTAAACAAATAAAACTGATGAACTAAAAATAAATTGGGGATAAATATGGTATATTTTTTTGACAAAAGCTTCTATTCCCAAATATGGAAAGAACTGAATCAAGTTAATGAAATAAAAGTTTTTCTCTGATAAACTGACAAAGGATATGTATAGGCAGTTTTAAGATGAAGAAAACAAAGCTATGAATATTTAAAAGAAAAAATGTTCTTAATAACAAATAATTAGAGAAATGCAAGTTGGAACAACTCATAATTACTAACTCACATGTATAAAATTGGTGGATATGAAAGAAAAGGAAATTAATAAGTGATGGAGAGGATATGGAAAAATAGGTACACAAATTCACGGTTTGTGTATTTATGAACTGGAGAACAATTGGGAACTATGCCATTAAAAGATCAGACTTGGTGATCTTGATACCATCATAGTAGTCTCCAATTCTGACAGGCTGTAGTTTATAGAATCCAGCCACCAAAAAGCAACAGAAATTATAATTTTTAAGGTTAATAGAGCTGTGTTCCCAAAAATCATACCCCTCCAACCACAAATTTTTCCTTTCTCTCTGCAGCTTTGCACTCCAAAAATTCACCATGTGCCCTAAATCTTGATAAATATATTGGCCAGGGAATCTCAGGTTCAGGACAATTTGGAGCATGCCATCCATTCCAGGAGTAATAAACACAAGAAGAATACCTTTCCAGCTAAATTGACTCATGTCTCTCTGCATTCCCAACACATCACCACCATTACATGAGTTTTACTCTATGTTAATGTGTATTTTTAAATTGCATTAAGTATCTTCTTCTCTCTTCTTCCCCCCTATACCCTGCCTCAATCTTCCCAATCACATTTTAATAAAGCATTGCATTAAGTTGACTCCATTGTTTTACATATTATTCTTGGCATATAAACTTATTAAGTGTTTTCTCCTAATTCAAGGTAGCCTACTGACCTCTTCATGGACAGAAAATTTACTTTCCACACAAGGCCTTAATTTATTGACAGCTGCTTTTGCACTAAAGGAAGATAGCATGCATGAATACACTTGTCTAAAACAATGTCCAATAAAGGAATCCCATGTCTTCCAAGCAGGGACTATCTCATGCCAGAGGACTGGCATGTGCCCAATAGAATATATGTTATATATATACACACATATATACATATATATATATATACATATATATATATATATACACACACATGCATATATATATATGTATATATGTATATATGTGTAATATATATATATATATATATATATATATATATATATATACATATATATATAATGATGATAGAGAAGATTCCACAAAAATCTGGGGAAGATTTATATGAACTGATACAAACTGAAGCAATCAGTACAAAGAGAGCATTGTACACAGTAACAGCAATATGGGTAATGACAATAAATTGTGAAAGACTTAGCTATTCAGATCAAATATAATAATCCATGACAATTTCAGTGGTTTCATGCTGAAAAATCCTATCCACCTCCATAGAGAGAACTGATGAAAACTTAGTGAAGATTGAAGAATAACTATATATATATATACATATATATATACACACACACATACATATACATATACATATATATGTATACACATTATATATATGTTTATTAAAATGGCTAATATTGAAAAATGTTTTTTCTAATTTCACATGTATAACAGGTGTCATTGATTTTTTTTCAGAAGTCAGGGGAGTGGACTAGAGAGAGAGAGAGAAATTTGAGCTGAATATAAAAAGGTTGTGAAAAGTTTTAAAATATAAATATATGGTCCTCTTTCAGAAAAGACTGGAGTCATTAAGAAAGAAAATATTCACCATGTAATGAATGTCTATTATAGGACAGCCTCTGTGCTAACCATTTTACAAATAATATCTCAATGGTTCCTCAAAACAATATGACTAGGAAGTACAAAGATTATGATTCATGACAAGGGTCACACTGACCTTAAGTATCTGAAAGAACTTTTGACTTAGCTGTTTTTGACTCTAGGCACAGAGACAAATTCACTGTGCCAATAAACCACCTAATAAAAATTTTATTTGTTCCTCACAACAATCCTGGCATTTCAAGATTCTTATTAGCTCTATTTTACCAGAAAGAAAAATTGGTAAAAAGATGTTATGTTACTTGCCAAAAGTCAAAGAGCTAGTGTATGAGGGTTGATTAGAAATCAGTTATTCCTAACTGTAGGCCAGTTCTCTACCCACTGCATCACCCAGCTCCTTCTAAAAGACCTTGTAATTCTGTAAAGACAATCCAGGCAGCTGATCTACCCCAAGTTATTTTTGGTGGCCAACACTGAGTCCATTTGTACCCATCTGTCCTATAGAGGTATCCAAAAAGGCAAACTCTCCATCTTACCCATTCAACTTTCTGTAATATTCTGTTATACACTGAGTATTCTTCATAGACTTGGATTATAGTATGTGAGTGGTTAACACAAAGAGTTCTTGACTAGAGTCCTCTTGCAGAAGTGTGTGCAATTTCCCTGAGCATGATGCAACCATGCCATATCAGCCACAAACAGAAGCCTGGAACATGACATAAACTTCATTAAATTAGGTAGTCCAGTGGACTTTTTTGCTTATTACTCTCTTTGAAATTTCCACAACAAGTTCATAAAAAAATTAATTAAACATCTCCATTGCTTCAGGGACATGCCCTCATGGGGACAGAGAAAACCATAAATTCTGACTCTAGCAGCTGCCAGTACAGATCACATGAACAAGTTACAGAAGATTCTACCTTCCAGATAAGCAGGTAACATTATTCTTTGTTTGTGAACTTCCAGGGCAGCATAAGGTCAAAACAATGGAGTGCAAAATTCTCAGTTCAAAAAGTCAATCATGTCCATTGCAGGGATGAATAGGAGAATTTTGTGGTTTTGGGTAGAATTTGATTACATTGAAACGGCATAAAATTGTTCTAGGAAATCTGTCAAATTACAGGTCCTAACTGTTAAGAGTTGTCACAGAAACTTTTGTGCAACCAGAGATATCAAATAGTTTTTGTCAAGGAAAATAGATCACTAATAATATGTGGGGTAAGTGTGATGTTTCAGTCAATGCTATGTAACTGGACATCATCTGAACAACAAGAAGCATTAACAATTTTTTGTTTGTTTGTTTGTTTCTTGTGTCTCAAAACTGCTCGCCTAATTCAACTTCGTAATCCACATGGAAAAATATTACTCTCTCATAAGACAAAGGCAAAGGAGACGATAGATAGTAAGTAGACATACAGAGTCACTGGGGATATCATACAATTAATCACTATATGAAGTAGACTGCAGTAGGTCCTGGACCTTTACCTTGAATGGTTTAGGGAACTCCTAAAAAGAAAAATCCATCTCTAGCTTTTCCTATCAGTTTGCAACTGGTAATGATAGATAATGGCCCAACAACCAGTTGATGACACAGCTAACACAAAAGTTTGGAAATGTGCTGGACATGTTATTTATCCTTTCTCCACTTAGCTTCAAAGCGAGCTTGATGCTCACTTCATCACCATTCCTCCATAAGGTGATCTGACATACACTGTCCTACATTAGTATCTCATGATAATCTTTTGATCCATTGATCAAAATAGATTTATATTAAATATATTAACATATATTAAACATATCTGTAATATTGTCCTGTCCCTTCACTTGGAGAAAAGTAGTTTTATAATGTACTGTTATGTAGAATAAAACCACATTCACTGTTCTCTTGGGATAGGATATTGATATGATATAATATGATGTAATGTGACATTATGTCAAATGATACAATGTAATATTATTTCAATTTGAGTGCATTCATGACATGGCACCTAAATGGATAAAATTACATTGTAATTGAGTGGTAAAATTCCTGTTCATCTCTATCTAACACATTTCTACCCATTAAGTTGCTGGTTAGCCATGCAAACAGTACTCAAAGAAGGCTTCTTTCTTTTCTTCTCATTATATTTCTTGGATGAGCCAGGTGACTGAATTCATTCTCATGGGCCTCACAAACCGTCCTGAGCTCCAGGGCCCCCTCTTTCTCGTATTTTTATTTAATTACATGGCCATCATTGTGGGGAACCTGGGCCTGATCATCCTGACCAGTGTGGATTCCCACCTCAAAACCCCCATGTACTTCTTCCTCAGGCATCTGGCATTTGTTGACCTTGGCTATTCCACAACTATTGAGCCAAAAATGCTAGTTGGATTCATAGAGGAGAAAAATATCATTTCTTATTATGGATGTGCAATACAGCAATTTTTTTTCTTGATATTTATCACCAGTGAACTTTAATCCTGTCAGCCATGGCCTATGACTGCTATGTTGCTATCTGTAAATCCCTCTATTATATGATCATCAAGTCAGACAGGGCATGTTGGCTCTTGGTAGTTGTCTCATACCTCTATAGCACCATCGTGTCCATGTTGGTCACAATAAAGATTTTTAAATTATCTTTCTGTAAATCAAATGTAATAAGATACTTCTACTGTGATGGTCCTCCCCTACTGTTCATTTCATGCTCAGACACAAGTGAGATTGAACTTATCATTACAATCTTTTATGTATTTAATTTTATTTCTTCCCTCCTCCTCATCCTTATGTCTTACTTGTTCATTCTTGTGACCATCCTCAGAATGAACTCTTCTGAGGGCAGGCACAAAGCCTTCTCCACATTTGGCTCCCACTTCACAGGGGTGGTTATATTCTATGGGACACTCCTCTTCATGTACCTGCAACCCCAATCTAGCCATTCCTTTGAAACAGATAAAATAGCCTCTGTCTTTTACACTCTGGTCATCCCTATGCTCAACCCTTTAATCTATAGTCTGAGGAACAAAGAGGTGAAAGGTGCCTTGAGGAAGCTCTTTAAAAAAATCATGTAAGCCTCCTTTTTAATGCTCAAAGTAGAGTGTGATTCCATTGTATTATTCGAAGAAAGTAAATATGTGCTAGATTTTTTTCCACTTCTCCTTTATCCTTCTCTTGTCTTTTAGAGGAAAACATTTCTCTTAATATGCAGTCAGAGAATGAGTTTTAATTAGTTGTTTGTGTTTTCTTAGTGGTCAACCTCCAATAAATCCTAATTTAGTGGACTATTTAACAGGACCTCTTAGAGAATTAATGTCAAATATCCCTATAAAACAATCTATTTCATTATATGCTACAATAGTAAACAACATAACTTTGTTTTAATTTTCTTTGATTGAGAAAATCAGTTGATACACATTTTTAAAATCTGACAAGTACTATTCTAGGCACTAGGCCTACGTTAATAACTTAAAAAAATAGTTGTTGCCAGCAGTGAACTTATATTTTATTAAGGAAAACAATATACACGTGAAAGCCACACTATCCCCCAGAGTAGCCAACCTCTTTTTGAATATCTCTTATTGTTAAGAAGTTTATACTTATCACCACCTAAATTTCTCCTCTATGTCTTCCAACCATAGCTCTTGGTTATTCCTATGAAATACAACTAGCTGATTTCCTCTTCTTTATAATAATTGTCCTTTTTTTTTTTTTCAGTGAGACAATTGGGGTTAAGTGACTTGCCCAGAGTCACACAGCTAGTTAGTGTTATGTGTCTGGCCAGATTTGACTTCAGGTCCTCCTGACTCCAGGGCCAGTGCTTTATTCACTGTGCCACCTAGCTGCCCCAACTGTTCAGTTTCTTGAAGGAAACTTCCATCTCTTCCCCAGCTTCAGTTCCAGATTTTTTTTTATTTGAAAATAACACTGATTTATACAACATTTCCCAAAAACCTTAGGGTAGATTTAATTTTTTTAAAATATGAATTTATTTATTTTTAGTTTTCAACATTCACTTCCACAAGTTTTTGAGTTCCAAATTTCCACCCCATCTCCCCCTCCTCCCACCCCAAGATGGCATGCACTCTGAATATCCCTTGCCCTAGTCTGTCCTCTCTTCTATCTCTCTCCCCTTGTCTTATCCCCTTCCCCTTCTATTTTCCTGAGGGCAGGATACACTTCTGTACCCCATTTCCTCTATTTCTTATTTCCCAGTAGCATGTGAAAACATTTTTTTAAAACATATGTTTTGAAAACTTTAGGTTTCAAATTTTCTCTCTTCCTCCCTCCCCACCCACCCTCATTGAAAAGGCAAGCAACTCAATATAGGTTGTACATGTGCAGTTATGCGAAACACATCCATAGTAGACATGTTGTGAAAAACTAACTCTATTTCCCTTAATCCTATCCTGCCCTCCCATTTATTCTATTCTTTCTTTTGACCCTGTCCCTCTTCAGAAGTATTTACTTCTGACTACCCCCTTTCCCAATCTTCCCTCCTCTCTATCATCTCTCTGCTCTCTTGTCCCCTTCTCCCCCTATTTTCTTTTAGGGTAACACAGATTTCCGTACCCAATTGAATGTGTATGTTATTCCCTCCTGAAGCTAAATCTTATGAGAATAAGATTCACTCATTCTCTCTCACCTTCCCCCATTTCCCCTCCATTGTAAGAGGCTTTTCTGGGTTTTTTTTGTGAGATAATTTACCCCATTCTACCTCTGCCTTTCTTCTTCACCAAGCATAATCCTCTCTCATCCCTTAATTTTATTCTCCAGATATGATCCCTTAATCTTCAACTCACCCTGTGCCCTCTATCTATCTATCTATCTATCTATCTATCTATCATCTATCTATCTACATATACGTACATATATTTTTTTTTTCCTCCAACTACCCTAATACTGACAAAGGTCTCATGAGTCATAAATATCATCTTTCCATGTAGGAATGTAAACAGTTCAATCTTAATAAGTCTCTTATGATTTCTCTTTCCTCTTTACCTCTTCATGTTCCACTGGAGTCCTGTATTTGAAAGTCAAATTTTCTATTCAGCTCTGGTCTTTTCATCAAGAATGCGTGAAAGTCCTCTATTTCACTGAATGACCATTTTTTCCCCTGAAGGATTATATTCAGTTTTGCTGGGTAGGTGATTCTTGGTTGCAATCCTATCTCCTTTGCCCTCCAGAATATTATATGCCATGCCCTGTGGTCCTTTAATGTAGAAGGTGCTAAATCTTGTGTTATCCTGATTGTGTTTCAACAATACTTGAACTATTTCCTTCTAGCAGCTTGTAATATTTTCTCCTTGACCTGGGAACTCTGGAATTTGGCTGTAATATTCCTAGGAGTTTTCCTTTGGGGATCTCTTTCAGGAGGAGATCAGTGGATTCTTTCAGTTTCTATTTTGCCCTCTGGTTCTACTATTAGATTTTATTTTTTAAAGCTTAAAATAAATCAGACTTTGGCACCATTCTCTACAGTTAAAGATCCCAGGTTTAAATAAAAGGTCTATTACTTGTGACCTATGATATTCTGGGCAAAATATTTATCTTCTCTGACTCCCACTCATCTATAAAATTTGGGAGTTTGAGGACATAAATTTTAAATGCTTTTTCAGTTAAAATTCTATGTTGCCATAAATATATTCTTTCTGCTAACAGTAGAGATTCTTCAACCAGTAATCACATGTTCTTTTTTTTAAATTAATTTGAAACAAATACAAAATGAGAAAAGAAAACAAAATCATTTCCATGTAGACAATAGATAAGAAAGGATTCAATATAAACCATAAATTTCCATTTCAAAAAACCCTGTACAATAAATCCTATATGTTGTTTTCTAAGCTGCCCAGTTTTACTTTGCTTCTTTGTAGGTTTCTGTTTGTTCTTTGCAGTGTATTTTTTACTTTGTTTTTTCCCTCCCTTCCACTCTCATGCCCCAAAGAAGACTATAATTAAATGTGGAAATAGACAGACAGACAGACAGACAGATAGATAGATAGATAGATAGATAGATAGATAGATAGATAGATAGATAGATAGAAATGTACAGATACACACTTATACACAAATATGTAAGAACATACTGGGCATATTTTCACTTGTCATATCTTTCTTTGAAGGTGGATAGCATTATTTTTATAAGCTCAAGTCTTTCCATGTGTTTTTTTCCCCCCTAAACTAACTGGTTCATAATTGACTACCCAATACCAATATTTCAACCCAATCACATCCTTTGTTAGAGGTTATCAGCGAAAACCCCCACTCTATTTTCTGCATCCCTTGTATTCTTGGCTTTCTTGCCTTTATTTATATCAGGAAATTTTAATTTAAAATAATTGAACTTATCCATTTTATACTTCAACAATGCTTTTACCTTATACTTTAAGGTCTGGTACTACTGAATCTGCTTCCTTTAAATCTTTTTCACCTGATTTCTTTGAAATTTCTGTTTTTGTTATTCCAAATAAACTTTGTTTTTTTTTTCTAATTCAGTTAAGATATTTTTTGTGTAATGTAATCGGGTTGGTGTTGAATTAATAGATTAGAAAGGTAAAATTGTCATTTTTTTTATCTTTTTGACTTTATGTACTCATAAACAATAAATGTTACTTCAATTATTTAGATCTGATTTTACTTGTATAGGAAGAGTTTTATGTTTATGTTCATATAGTTTCTGTGTCTATTTTGGCACATATATTCTCAGGTATTTTATATTACCTAATTATTTTAAATGGCTTAGAACTATTAAATGATATTATTGACACATAGTGTAGTTTCCCTGTTTTTCTCTTGATTAAGTCTATTTTAGCTGCAATTTTGTCTGAGATAATGATTACTATTGCTCCTTTATTTTTACATAATAAATTCCTTTTCTGCCTTTTATTTTATCTTTGTGTGTTTCTCTCACTTTTGTAGTGTTTCCTGAAAGCATTACATTGTCCAATTCAAATTTTTAATCTGCTATCCATTTCAGTTTTATGGTTAAATTCATCCTATTTGCATTCTAAGCTAGGTTGCATATGCTACATGTTGCATATATTCCTCCTTCTTATTTTTTTCCCATGAGAGCCATCCCTGGTGTCGTGAGACCAAGCTGACTTTAGAATGCTATGGCGTATTTGAAAAAACTAACAATCAGTCAGGTAGCCACCAGTATAATCTCCTCCACTCTCTGTATATGTATGAATGGCATGGGATTGGAAGTGGTGGACAAAAGGGGTCTGCCTTCTTGTAATCAAATAAACAGTGCAATGGGAGGGGGAAAGGAAGATGTATATTTTTGATTCATCATTTTTCCAAGGCTGATCCCTAATCACTTCAGAAAAGTTACATAAGCCATTAGTACAGCTCTTTCATTCTCACAATGCAGATACACTGAAACAAAGTGTAGCTTTTTTTAAAGTAAATACTTTTTAAAAGTTGGAAAAAAAAACAAATAATTTTCCTTACCATTGGAAGGGCAAGTATGGTAAGCATATAGCAACTATTCAAATCATTATCAAAACTCAACGCTTTCCAATACCATAAGTTAGAACATACAATTAATGTTGTTATCATGCTTTTTCTAATCAGGCCCCAGGGAAATGATGTTTTAATACATAGGAGTACACTTTTACTGGAAATGAGTTCTAGGATTAGGAAAACAGAAAGCCTAAGAACTCTTTTTCTGTTAAACTTGAATTTTCTTTTAATAATTGGAATCAGAATGAACCTTTAAAAATTGTCATCTGGTGCAAAAAAAGAATATCAATACATAAAATGAAGATAATGCCTCTTGGGACCTTCTATCCATGTCTTCTGTATTTTTTTTTTCATTTCTCTCACCTTTCACCTTTTTTTTCTTATATGTCATTTCTTATTCTTGACAAACTCTTCCAATTCACAATTAAGCCACTTATTAAGCAACTTCTGTGTGCTGGGGACTGGAATAGGTGCTGAATATTAGAAGGTGGTAGTAAAACATTCCTTACCCTGAAGAAACTTGTTTTCTATTGGGAGTAATCAACCCATGCATAATGCTCAGGAGCAATATCCTTAAGGGACAAAAGGCAACCTATAGCTGTCACACCAGGCTCATAAACACCAAATACGTTGATGGAATGGGGAGTCCAGATGAAGTCCGCATTATGGCTTCCTCCGATTCCCTAAATAGAAGGATTTCAGATAAATGGAAAAACTCCTTACCAGAGAGGATATCAATTCCTGTTGCTTCATGTAATGTATTGGGTAAAAGATACAAGGCCATGTCAGAAAACTTTATTGTATGAGTCATGCATCTTCTCCCACACTATCGTATATTAGGGCTAACTATCTGGTTGTCTGGTGATACAGTAGATAAGAGGCCAGACCTAGAATCAGAAAGAATCCTTTTCCAATATGTAACCTTAGGCAAGTCACTTAACCCAATTTGCCTCAGTTTCTTAATCTGTAAAATGAGCTGGAGGAAGAAATGGCAAGTGACTCCAGGATTTTTGCAAAGAAAAACCCAAATGGTGTCATGAAGAGTCAGATATGACTGAAAAATGACTGAATGTATCTTACATATATCTTCATGAAGCTAGAATGGATACTGTCTCCTTTTCTCACTCAACTAAGGCAATCTTCTAACCACTAAGCTATATTAATTCACTAAAAAATTAAAATGGTTCTAAAATGAAGTGGACAGCCTCTAGTATAATGGATTAAATTCTTCTGCCACTCTTGTGTTCCATGTTCCAAAGTCCTACAATTGCTCCTGTAAAATTGTGATATTTTAAAGATAGCTTGTGGGTTTTGTTGCTGTTCAGTTATTTCCAACTCATAATTACACCATTTGGGGTTTTCTTGGCAAAGATACTGAAGTGTTTGCCATTTTCTTTCCACCTCATTTTAGGGATGAAGAACCTGAAAGCAACTGAGTTAAATGACTTGACCATGATCACCAAGTTAGTAAGTGACTGAGGCTCTTAAACTCAGGTCTTACTGACTGCAGGCTCAGTACTCATTCACTGGGCCACCTAGCTGGCTCAAAAGAAATGGCAGTTTTCACAAAATTGAGATATAAACAAGTGTAGAAATATTGATGGCTCGTGCATTGGCTGAGAATAAGTAATAAAAAAAAATTCTGGCTTTAGAAATTCAAACTACAAAGAAGTTTTTTAATAGAACTACAAAAAATAATAAAGTTATTCTAGAAGCATAAAAGATTAAAGATATCTATGGAATCAATAAAAAAAATGAAGAATGGTGGCCTAGCAGTACAAGATTTCAAACTATACTACAAAGCAGTAATCATCAAAACAATCTGAGACTGGCTAAGAAATAGACTGGTGCATCTGTGGGATGAAATAGGTATACAATATACTCTAGTAACTGACCAAAGTAATCCAATATTTGACAAATCCAAATATTCAAGCTTTGAGTGCAAGAACTTGTCATTTCCAAAAATTACTGAGAAAATTAGAAAACAGTTTGGCAGAAAGCAGGCATAGACCAAAAACTCACACCACATACCAATACAAGTTCAAAATGGGTTCATGTTTTACACATAAAGGATAATATCATAAGAAAAGTAAGAATTCATGTAAAAAATGACTTGTCAGAGCCACATAGGAGATAGAGAAGGTCATGGAAAATAAAAATGTGTCATCTTATTAAAGAAAATTAAAAAGCTATTAAATAAGAAAACCAGTGCACTGAAAATTAGATGGAAAAAAATAAACTGGTAAAAAAAAAAATCATCTCAAGCTTCTCTGATAAAAGCTTCTTTTTCAAATATATATGGAATTGATTCTAATAAAAAAAAATATGAGACTTTCCCCAATTATTTAACAGTAAAAAGATAAGCAATTCTAGGATAAGGAAATCGAAACTATCAATAATCATAGGAAAAGTGGTCTAAATCACTAATAATTTGAGAAAAGCAGGTTAAAATGACTCTCAATTACCAACTAACACCTGTGAAATTAGCTATCATGAAAGAAAAGGAAAATAACAATTATTGGAGGGAGTGTGGAAAGATAGGTACACTATTGCATTGTTCCTGGAGTTGTGAAGTGCTCCAACCACTTCGGAGAACAACTTGGATCTGTGCTGTAATAACATTAGGCCTGATAATCTTGAGACCACCAGGCACAGGTGTGATGGCTATCACACTGCATGGTTTTTCAGTGGGTGAACTCAGTTGCTAGAAGCAGGAAAATAAGTTTGAACTACAATAAAAAGAGTGTTAAATTTTTTTTTGGAAAATAAAATATATTAACCTTCTCAGAAAAAAAGTAGTAATTAAAAGCATTTATGCATTCATTTAATGCCTAATATAGGCAAGCCTCTGTGCTAAAGTTTTTACAAGTAACATCTCATTTGATGCTCAAAACAATTCCCCTAGGAAGAGCTATGATCACCGTTTGAAAATGAAGGCGACTGAAAATAATATACATGATGAGCTTCAGACTGCTCCTGTATATCTGAGACAACTTTTGAAATCAGTGCTTTCTGACTTCAGGCCCAGAAACATATCCATTGGGGCACATAGTTGCCTGATAAAAATTTCATTTGATCCTCAACAATGCTATTGTTGATGCTGTTATTAGACTTATTTTACAGAGCTTTAGCCATTACAAGACTTTGCTCCTAAAATATATATTTTAATTCGCTAAAGGCAATCCAGCCTGCTTACCTTTCCCTGGTTAGTTTTGGTGCCCATATCTAAGTCCATTTGTCTGAATCAGTTGTAAAGGTGCATCCAAAAAGGAAAACTCCTTTCGTTACTCATTCAACTTTATGCTATATTCTGGGTAGCAGATATTCTTCATCTATTTGGCTTTTAGTGTATGGATGTTAAACTAAACTGTTCTGCTTGGTTGCAGACTTCTTTCATGAGCCTGTGCAACATTCTTGGGCTTGATGAAACTAGGATATAGCACCTACAAACAGAAGCCTGGAACAGGGTAGTTATTTAATAAATGCTTCTTGAAATTAAGTAAACTAGTAACATTGTCACTTATTGCTGACCTGGCAATTTTGATATCATGATCATAAGAAATGCATTAAGTTTTCTAAGTGCTTCAGGCACATGGCCTCATGGGGACTGAGAAAACCATAAAGTCTCACTCTGCGTACAGATCTCGTGAGCAAGCCACAGAAGATTTACCTTTCCAGAGAAGCAGGTAACATTATTCTTCGTGATCTTTTCATTGAAATAGGTATCAAAAATATAGAATCTAAGCAGCTGATTTAAAAAAAAAAGAGAGAAAATCACTATGCCTAGTTTTGGGGCAAATGGGACAATTCAGGAGCCATATAGGAATTCACTCAAATTGTAATGGCATAAAACGATCATAGGAAAGCCATCAGATGAAAGCTGCTAGTCATGACAACTAACTATTGCAGAAAGGAGCTTTCTGCAATCAGACATATCAAAGAGCTTCTGTCAAGGGATATTGATAGCTAATAATATATGGGATTCCAGTGATCTTTGAGATCAGTGTTAAGCAACCGGACATCATCTGAAGAACAAGCATGCTTTTAAAAATAAAATCCTTTCCTGTCTCTGGCAAGGAAAGCCATTAAAACACTAAAATTGTATGTCTAGCTCATCTCTATAATCTAGGCAGAAAAAAAAATTCTCTCTGCTAAGGCAAAGAGAACGGAGACTACAGAGAGTGAGTAGATATATGGAGTCTCTCTGGATGTCACACAAGAAATAACTGCAAGAGGGAAACACAGTAATTAAACCTGGGCCTTTCTCTTCAAAGGTAAGGGCCCTTCTCTGAAGGAGATTCCATCTCTTGTTGTGGGCCATCACTTTGCAACTGTTAGTCAAAGACCATTGCCCCAAAATCAGCAGGTAACATGACCAACACTATGTTACTTGAAAAAGTGGTGGATATATCTTTATACAATCTCTCCTTAGCCTCAAAGCCAATTGATACCCATTTCACCACAACTTTTTCTATAAGATATTCTTAAACACTCTGCTATCCTTCAGGATTCTGTTATAATTTTGACCCATTGATTTGTTATATTTTTAAAAAATATATTCAAAATATTTTGTCACTTCACTTGGAGATAAGTGATTTTATAATCCATTCCATATTTTGTAAATAAAACCACATTCACTTTTCACTTGATGACACAATGCTGATATGTTGATTTGATATGATATATAAGATATAATACAATGTCATATATTATCATCCCTAAATTGATGAAATTAAACTGCACTTAATTCTAAAGTTCCTGATAATTTTACCTAAAATATTTGTATTAAATAACTGCCTAATTATTGATGCAAACAGTGCTTAAAGGGGTTTTTATTTTATTCTCAGATTATTTTCCTTCGATAAAATAATGATCCAGTTGAATGAAACCTCAAGGAGCCAGGTAACTGAATTCATTCTCATGGGCATCACAGACCATCCTGAGCTGCAGTGTCCCCTCTTTGTTGTGTTTTTCCTCAACTACATGGCTACAGCTCTTGGAAATCTGGGCCTGATCATCCTGACCAGTGTGGATTCCCATCTCCAAACCCCTATGTACTTCTTTCTCAGGCATCTGGCATTTGTTGACCTTGGCTATTCCTCAGCTGTTGGGCCAAAAATGTTGGTTAGTTTCATAAAGGAGAAAAATGTGATTTATTATCATGAATGCGCAGTACAGCTATTTTTCTTTGGGATATTTATTGCCAGTGAACTTTTTATCTTGTCAGCCATGGCCTATGACCGCTATGTGGCTATCTGCAAGCCCCTCTACTATACGGTCATTATGTCAGACAGGGTATGTTGGATCTTGGTGGCTATCTCTTACCTCTACTGCATCATGGTATGTCTAGTGATCACAACTGAGACTTTTAAATCATCTTTCTGTGACTCAAATATAATAAGACACTTCTACTGTGACAGTCTCCCTCTATTGTCCATTGCATGCTCAGACACAAGTGAGGCTGAACTGATCATCATGACCTTTTCTGCATTTAATTTGGTTTCTTCCCTCTTGATTATCCTTATTTCCTACATATTCATTCTTGTGACCATCCTTAGGATGAACTCTTCTGAGGGCAGGCACAAAGCCTTCTCCACCTGTGGCTCTCACCTCACAGGGGTGGTTATCTTCTATGGGACACTTCTCTTCACGTACCTGCAGCCTCAGTCTAGCCACTCCTTTGACACAGACAAGATGGCCTCTGTCTTTTACACTCTGATCATCCCCATGCTCAACCCTTTGATCTACAGCTTGAGGAACAAGGAGGTGAAAGGTGTCTTGAAAAAACTCTTTAAAAAATGATGTAAATTTTCTCTGAAATGAACAATGCAGTTTCTTTTTTCCCCCTATTGCATTATTTTATGCAAATAAATTTCTGATAGGTTTCTTTGACAAGTACTCTCTGATATTTCTCTTAATATGAAGTCAAAGGATGATATTTGTTTGTTATGTATTTTTTTTTAGTCAAACATTAGTAAATCCTTGCTTAGGGGATCATTTAATTGAAAAGAAGTATTAGAGGATTTAGTACAAAATATCTCTGTAAAATAAATCTGCTTTGTTATATACTATGCCACTAGGGGATCATAACTTTGGTTGGTGATTTCTTCTGCGGGGGAAAAAAAAAGAATAGTACCTGACATTTGTAGATAAAGTTCATAAATATTGCTTTATTGAAGATTCATAATAATTTTATGATGAAAGTGTAATAGGTAGTTTAACCCCATTTTACAAATGAAGAAACTAAGCCTCCACAAATGTTAAATAAATTGTTGAAATCATCAAGTGGATAAACATTGTGCACAAGGTTGAAACCAAGTATCCCCGATTATAAATTCAGCATTCTATATTTTATCTCCTATAATAAGCTGTGTTAACTCACGGAGGTGTAATGTCTCATTGTAAACACAACAATTATCACAATTGCACACCATTTATCATCATCCAGGCTCCCACTGTTCTTCCTCCCCTTCCTCTTTATGATTTTCATCATCATCATTATCATCATCATCATAAAATACGCATTTTCCTAACAAACACTCTTATGTTCACTGGATCAGGCACTGTGGTACACGCACAGCAATATCGAGCTCAGTGTTGGACCACATTTAAAATATTTGTGAAAGTCATAGTGAAAATGAACAGGAAGTGGCTAGCTGCTGGTAAGCACTAGGATCTAGAATTAGTCAAAGACAAAGGAAAAGTATACCTGCATTTGGAAGTCTATATTAAGTCAACAATTGATCAATAAATATTTAATGAGCACCTATTATGTGCCAAGCACTCTGATAAATGCTGGATATAAAAAAAAGGAAAAAAATATCTCTACATACAAAGAGGTGACATCTAATAGAGGAGACAACATGGAAAAAAATATACATAAAACAAGTTATATATAAAATAAATGGGAAATAGTTACCAGAGTTAGAGTTCTTGAATTAAGAGGGATTAAGGAAAGCCTCCTATAGAAGGTAGACTGTTCTTTGAAATTTAAAGAAACTGGGGAAGTCGTATGCAGAACAGAGAAGAAGGATGTTCCAGGAAAGGGGGAATTGGTGAGAGAATGACCAGAGCTGAGACTTGGAGTGTCTTGTTTGTGAATCAGCTAATTGGTCAGTGTCATTGGTTAAAGAGTGGGAAGAAACATAGTTTAAAAAGACTGGACAAGAAGGACAGGGTTAGGCTATGAAGGACTTCAGAGTTTCTATATTCAAAGTGTACTGTTTCATTCATTGCCCTTTCATTCCTAAACATAGATATCAAACATCTGAGATGGAGAGAGGTTATTGTTTCTCTAAAGATATTACATGTTCCTTGAATGGGGATTCAACAAAGAAGGGCACCTTGGACACATGCAATGAATGTGTGGGGATGGTGATGGCATTACTAAACTGATTACCTAATGACATTATTAGACTGATTACTGATCACTTCAAAAAGGTTGCATTAGGTACTAATGCAGCTCTTCCACATGAACAGTGCACACATTCTAAAAAAGTTATGGTAACAGTTAAAGTAAATAATTTAAAAATTGGAAAAATAAGTAATTGTGATTACTGTTAGAAGGGGCTGAATGGACTGCATATCTTTGTTTGTTTGTTTTCCTTAAGAGGAATGATAAGCATTTATGTATTGGTGAGTATTAATTCACTGGTCAAACCTACAATGAGGGAAAATGTTGTTAAATAGAGATCTCTATAGAATTGAAGGCAGTACTTGGCTAGCAGTTAGATCACTATCAAATCTCAATGTTCCTTAATACCATAAGTCAGAACATAGAATTATTTTACTATCATGCATTCTCTAATCAGGCCCCAGGGAAATAATGTTCAATACATACAGGCACATTGTCAGGAAAGGGATTTTATGTTTAACATAACAGAAGGACTTATAACTCTTCATTTTAAACATGAATTTTAGTTTAAGAATTAGAATCAAGAAGAAACAAGCAAAAGCCATAAACTTGTGTTTAATTTTTGTCCTTTGGGGAAAACAAGAATATCAATACATAAAGTAAAACTAATGTCTTTTGGGAGCTTCCATCCACGACTTCTGTTTGTTCATTTCCCTCTCTTATTTTTTTTTTCACATCTAAATAATCTTTCCTGTCTCCTTCTTCATGATCTCTTCCAATTCACTATTATCTAAGGGCCACTTATTAAGCAGCTGCTATGCTGTAGACTGGACTTGGTCCTGGAAATTAGAACATAATAGCAAAACTGTCCCTGCACTTAAGAAACTGGAATTCTACTCAGAGTAAACAATACATGCATAATGCAAGAGGAAACAATATCCTTAAGTCACAAAAGGCAAATTATAGATCTCACACCAGGCACATATTAACCAAGAATATTGATGGGATGGGTGAGTCCAGATGAGGGCAGTATTATATTTTCTTGAGTTTCTTTAAATACAAGGATTTGTGATAAGTGGGAAAACTACTTGCCAGAGAACCTATCAAATCCTATTAGTTTATTTTATTGTCTGAGTCAGGCATCATCTCTTGCCCTATCAAAATTTAGGACCACTGGTTTTGGTCTCTAGTTTTAGAGTGTATAGAATACTGGTCCTGGAGTCAAGAAGACTCATCTTCCTGAGTTCAAACTGGCCTCAGACACTAGCTGTGTGACACTGGGCAATTCACTTAACCCTATTGGCATCAGTTTACTTATCTGTAAAGTGAGCTGCAGGAGGAAATGGTAAACTATTTCAATGTCAAAACAAAACAAAATAAAAACAAGTGGTGTCATGAAGAATCATATGTGGCTTAAAATGGCTGAACTCCTCTTACTTTCATATGTCTTTGCGATGTTAGACTGGATCTATCTCTACCGTTTCTCACTCTACTAAAGCAGGCTTCTATTCACTAAGCTATACTGATTCACCACAAAATTAGAACTGCTGGAAAATGGTGTGGACTGCCTCTAGAGTTATGTGTTCAGTTTTTTAACACTGTTGTGTTCCATGTTTCAAAGTCCTACAATAGCACCTATAAAATATTGACATTTAAAAGACTGCTTCTTGTGATTGTTCACACATATTCAACATTTTGTGACCCTATTTTGTGTTTTATTGGCAGAGATACCAGAGTAGTTTGTTGTTTTCTTCTCCAGTTCTTTCTCCACATGAGGAAACTAAGATGAATAGAGTTAATGACTTGCCCAGGGTCTTAAATCTGGTAAGTGGCTGAGGCCAGATTTGAACTACAGGCCAAACCTTCTATCCATTGCACCACCTAGTTACCAAGAAAATATGGCATTTTTCACACAAATACAGGTTCAAACAGTTGTAAAAATACTAATGGCTCAGATCTTAGTTGAAATATTGTAAGAAAAATCATAATTATATATAATATTATACATAGATTATAATTTATATAATTATGTATAAATATAATCATAATTATATTTACAAATTCAGTTCCATACCAAACTTCCAAATAAGCATTTTATATAGTAAGGAAAAAATAATTATAATATTTTCTAGGACAAATGGGAAAATATGTCAATGGAATCAATAAAAAAAAAGTGAAGACTGGTAGCCTAGAAGTATATGATTTCACACTATTTTTAAAAGCAGTAATCATTGAAACAATCTAGTACAAGCTGAGAAATAAAATGCTGGATCAGTGACACAGGTTAGGTACACAATGCAGAGTACTAAATGACCCTAGTAATCTAGTGTTTGATACACACTAATTTCCAAGGTTTGGGGCAACAACTCACCATTTCCAAAAAATTGCTAAGAAAACTTGAAAGCATTTTGGTAGAAAGCAGGCATAGACCAATGTCTCATAACACATACAAATAAGAAGTCAAAATGTGAACTTATGCTTCCAAGAGCCAAGATGGCAGAGTAAGAAGTAAGTCACTCTTATGCTCCCATATTAAGCTCTGAAAGTCAGAAATTATTGCCCCAGGAAAAACCCTGGAACAGCTGAACCAGAAGAAAGATGGGGTGCAGCAATCCAGTAGCCCAGGTAGCTTGAGGGATTAAAGAGAAAGGCCCTTCTTGCCCTGGGGGAAGGTGAGCAGTACAGAATGTGTGGTGTCATAGCAAGCTAGCAGAAAGCCTCACCTCAGCATACCAGGAGGAGATTCTGAAACCCAGGTGGTGGAGCAGGAAAACACCAACACCTAGGCCCCCAAGTGCCTCAGTGAGGGCAAGGGAAACCAGTTTGGAAAACCACCAGGTGCCCCAGCATTCTACAGCAACTGGGTCTCCCAGTGCCTCAGCAAAACTAAGGGAAGCAGTGCTCCGAGAGGCCCCAGGCAGGTAAACATCCTGCAAAATCCATCTGAAAGGAGCTAAAGAAAGTGAAAGGAAGGAAAGGCCCATGTAAGCAAGAAATTTCCAGGGCCACACTACCTAATCCTACCCCCAGAGTTCCAGTGTTGTTGATTCCAGCCCAAGACCAGGTAAGCTGTCAGAAACCTGTAGCCTCCAACTGCCAACACTGGAGGCTCCAGCACACAAAGCCAGTGACCAAGCCCTAGGCTTCCAACACAAGAAGCTTGGGTTAGTGCCCTCTGCTCCCCAGCAGGAGAGCTCAGTCTCTTTAAAGGCCAGGAAATAAGCAAGCACCATGAGCAAAAAGAAATGTAACATAGATTCATGTTACGAGATAAGGGAAGATCAAGGCAGAAATTTGGAAGAGGACAACATTGTCAACAAACAAAATCTGGAACCGCAAAAGGGAATATGAACTGGCCTGAAGCCCAAAAAAGCCCTCTTAGAAGAGCTCAAGAAGGATTTTAAAAGTCAAATGAGAGAAGTAGAAGGGAAAATGGGAAAAGAAATGA